CCCCCGGGAAACGGGTAAAGGGCGGCTTGGTCCTTCTCCAGCTCACGTTCGCTCCTCCATATCGGGCCGCACACTCTGACCGGGGCCACACGGACTAACCGCTGCGAGAAGAAGCGCGGACGGCGTTGGGACGTGCCCTCAGGTGGTGCTTCGAACCAGCCGAATGAATTGTTTAATTGAATTAGCCGACGTTTCCTTCGGCCTACCGCCTGGCAATCATATAATTCCCCCGGCGCCTGCTAATTGCCGCCTCTTTTCCGCGATTATTATTTATCGAATCTCTCCCATCCCCCGTTCATAGTCGTTTCATTCGAGAAGGGTGTCGATATCCAGTTTCATTGAATAACTTGATCGTTAATACTCACGCCCTTTGAGGATCGAGCAATTCACCTCGAACATTGTAATTTTAGATTCCTTCAGGTATTCCCTGTTGATCTCTGATTTCAATTTTGTCACGAGAATAAGCATAACGTAAACTTGACATTTAAAAATGTACAAAGGGTTAACTGCTATGTTTCGAGGATCTTGCCATTCATATACCAATTTTCAATCACTGCCGCTTCATCTCTACGAGCTCGTTCGGAGATGAGGCTGTAGTTCCGTTCATGAGATTGGAGTTCGGTCACGGAACGCGGGCCAAAGTGCGATTAGAGACGGTTTCCGGTGCTGATTGTGCAAAGATAAAGGAAACGGAGGGACGAACGCGTCCGTCTCTCCCAGGAGGAGAAGCTGGCCGGGAGAAAGATAGGAGGCCGTGTCTGCAGACGTGCGAAAATAAAATTACGCGGAACTTTCGGTCAAATTTGTTGAAATTGGGCGGCATTCCCGGGCGAGCTCCTCCCGCGGATCCCACGGGACCCGCCGGATAGAGGTGGCGTCCCTAACCATGCGCGCCGGCTATATCCGTATCGTCGAGGGGTGGCAACGCGCCGCGGACACATAAGGATCCTCGTGTTCGGCCGTGCTAAGTGCCGGCCATCAATAATTCAGCAGCGGACCCTGACGAGGTTATCGAGGCGATCCTCGAGCAAGAGGCGCCGCTGGATTTTTCATCCGCCGATTTCCAGCTGCAGGAACACCCGAGAATTATTGATGGACGCCTTCCCAACCCCATTCCTCTTAGAACAGCTAGTTAAAGAAGAAGAAAAAACGAAGGATCAACAATTTTTGCTATCGCTGGTCGATAGGGAAGTCTCGAGGATAAATCGGTCATTATAAATAAATGAAACAGCCAGCGTTAAATTACACGTGAATGTTCTAAGGCTCGTTCCTTTTGCAATAAATAATTATCGAAGAAAAACTCGAGAAAAGTCACGTGACAATGTTTCACTTTTGAGCCTTGTCGAACGATTGACAAACAAATCTTGAAGGCAAAGTATTGAAGAATTTCCTCATCAAATTGAGGTACTGAAATGTATTGAAAAAAATGCCTCTAATTGAAATGAAAATCGTATAAGTAAATGCAGAAACGTTTTAAACGTTTTAAGTAGAATAGTCGATGCTTGGTCAGACACGAACTCGAAACAAGTAATTGACTGATTTCTGACGACTCCGGTGAATCATTTCCAGTCTCCCGATTCTTTCTGAAAGGAAGCGAGATTCCAGAAGGGTGAAACAACTATTTTTCCGTTTATGCACCGACGGTATGTACTCTCAAAAGGCGTCGTTCGTTTCGTTGCATTAGCACACAACGCGTACGCGGCGATTAAGGATGATTTTTTTGCAATTCGAATGCAGTCTACCTTCCAGTGTTACCTTGCCAGGCGTTAGAGAACAACCGACTTACTACGTTTTAAATGAATTTCAAATATAAAATAAGTAACATACGCAGTTTTCACGGATGATTCAGCCGCGTCTGACGCCACGCGACATTCCGATGAGCAACGCAAATGCGCCGCGATTGACAGCTATCATTTACATAATCGAAAAGAGTCGAACGTCGTGTTAGAAACTAGGCATGAATGGTATTCAAGCTAGATTCATTTATAAATTCATTAGAGGTATATCGTTTCCTCGAGCTTGTCATCAAGCCAGGCAGTTTCATGCAAACAATTTTATTACATGCTTTACAATGAGAAGTCAATAATTAAATCGTCTAGTAATTCTTATCATATCCATTTTCTAATCGATTATCGAACATGGGTAGGACTTCGTACAAAGTTTATACAATCTACGCTCGATTTCATTAAATGAATAACTATAAAAGCGCAGTGATTACAGTTCTCATTTGCTCTCAATCCAAGTTCCTGCCTAGAAACAATTGCGCCAGCGTTTCTCTTATCAGGACGATGGAAGTTGAACAGGAAACGATCGGAACCGTCGTGTCGCGGGACAAACGTTTGACGTAACTGACGACCGCGAGTGCCCGCATTTTTAGTAAGCATCGTTGCATACGGCCCCGCATGCGATGCACGTACCACGCTCGTTTCTGCATTCGCCGTCGTAAAAAAGTCCGCGGCCGCATGTTCCTATCCGAAATTCCAACGGAACTCTTCAACCGATACGAGCGAAGCGGTAAAACTAAAAAAATGCCTCGTTTGCTTATTGTCTGTCGGACAAGCTCGTTTCACCGCGGAATTCTGTATTAACAGATGATAGCAACCAGTGCGATGCTTCAAACGTGAGACGTGCACTCCGCATTTTAACTCTCATGGCAAATATTACGGTTGTACGATAAGTAGCGTCAGGAAATTGATACTTAATAGTTGTATTAAGACATGTGTATGAATTCGTCACTGAGAGATCATTGAATGAATGTACCCTTAAAAATGTGTTTCTGTCAGGGTTTATAAGAGACCAATGGATAATTGGTCTTAAATATATTTTCAAATATGTGAACCAATTCTTTTTAAATCAAATCACACACGAATTCTGTATTAACCCAATGAGCAGTTCACTGCTTTTTAACTCTTATCACGCTCTCCCCGAAAGCTCACGAATTACGAGCCATTCTGAAGTTCGGCGTCGAAACTTCAGCCCCCAGGCTTAAAACTTTAAATTACCGGAGCTGCTCTTAACGAGAGAAAGAATCGGCATCGATGGCAAATGAAATTTCCCGCTGTTTTCAAATTCGTCGTCTCCGAGGCGTAAGTCGCGTGGTTGTAGAGGGTCCGGTGTCCCGTGATTGTCCCCATGGGGACCCGAGGATCTCCTCCGGCGCGGAGGAAGTCGCGGCACGCTTGTAAAATGCGAAAACAAGACGGGCCCTTTTCCTTCTCCGCTCTTTACGACTTTTGAGCGGTTGTAATGGGGCTGCGTCGTTCCGGATGGCGTTCGCGCGATCAACGAAAGGGGTCGTCGTTTCACAGCCGTTGAGCGCGGCCTAATAAAAATCCCATCTTGTTTGCAACCCTTCCGCCCGGCTAAACGACGCGTTTAATTGCCGCGCGTTTTTTTCAACGACTCCCAGCTTTAGTTTCTTCATTAATCGTCTCCAAATAGGTTTCCTCGGCACAAAACATTTATCAATGTGCTGCAACGCATTTACTAGACTTTTACAATGAGAATTATACCCGGCTTGCCTTAATGATATTCTGTTTTTCTTTGTACAGAACAGCACAAGAAAAACAAACATGGATAATCTTTGATCAATGGTTTACAAAATATTTTATCTAACATCTTTTTGGCTGCTTGTATACAAATGAATTGCGCAATGGACTAGTTGCGACGGGCACGCGTAAATATATTCAATTCTATATGTGCCAAGGTAATTGTTAAGGACCGTTCAAGGCTCGAATTGGTTTATCGTCCCATGTTTAATTCATTCTGTTTATCCGGTACCTAATATAATTATGAAATTACTGTTTCATCACGTTTATACAAGTGCCGGTTCGATACGAAATTTCGTATGAAATCGGCTACGTTCATCATGTTTGTTCGGCAGTTCACGAAATTATGAAATCACTATTTAATCATTTTTATACAGATACCAGTTGGATATGAAATTCCGTGACGCGATGCCTCTATACAAAATTTGACATTCGTATGAATGCACTAGGAGATTGAATGCGTTTCCAGTTCGGGAAATTCGGTTTGAAGTTTGAAATTTCGGGACACGCTCGCGGAGCACAGGGACAGGGCCCGTCTCCTGGTTAACAAAAGGTTAATGACCGTGACGGGTAGGGGTCCGGGGGGAGAACTGCTGTTCGGATAATGCGGATTACCTTCCCATTGGCCAGCCGGTAAATGTTTAAATGCAAAACCGGAATCGGTGGGCAGGCCGCGGGGCGTGGTTAATGTTACGTCGACATTCACCCAGATACATTCGGCTGGCATGTCAGCAAACACAGGCATGATAGCGTTTGAATAATGTATGTACAGCCTGGCCAGAGCGGGTGGCCGCTTTCTACCCTCTAATCGACACGCCTATGGCTACTCTATCCGGTTCAAAATTAGTTAATTACAAATTCGCACGCATTTCATAATTCGTTATATTTTATTAATATCATATTACCAAGTCGTTTATGTATATCTTTTGAACTTGAATTTACCGTCCTTTGAAATGGTCAAACGACACGGAACGATTGAAAAGAAATTGAGAACGAGAAAAGGGTTGATATAAATTTTTTTGTCAAAAGTGAGATCGATTGACCTAGATGAAGTTGACAGGGAATCGAGGAGTCACCCTAGGGTGCCGCGTACTCTGGGTCAATAGCTGTAATACGATTCCGGCAGAGCGGTTAATCCGCTGCTGGCATATCAAGTACGCGAGTCCTTGCGGAAAGGACTACGCGAAACGAATATCTTACAATTGAAATTCGGACAGGAGCCGAAGTTTGTTTCGATTCCATACGCGCCGATGGTTACACGTTTTCGATCCCTCATAAACTAGAAGCGAGCTTCGCGAACTTTATTGTCCCGTGCATTTGTCATTGTCGATCTTATAGAACAAAATTCTTCTGCTCTACGTCGTGCGTAAACAAACGTTTCTCGAACTAATGAGATTTAGAATTCGATTTGTCCAACGATATTGTTTAACCTTTTTCGGTTTTCTGTTACAGTATTCTCGAGCTGCGCAAGGAGAAGAGCAGGGACGCTGCCAGGTCTCGAAGGGGTAAGGAGAACTTCGAGTTCTACGAGTTAGCGAAAATGCTGCCATTACCGTCGGCTATTACCTCCCAGTTGGACAAAGCCTCTATAATAAGGCTAACCATCTCGTACCTCAAACTTCGCGAGTTCTCGGGTCACGGAGACCCGCCATGGAATCGGGATGGGCCACCGCCAAATAAATCTATCAAAGGTAAGGATCTCGTTATTAACCCATTGAGACCTCGCACCATTAAACTCAATTCGCGATCATAACAAACGATTCATCAATAAATATGATAAACATTTTAATGAGAAACATTTTAATGAGAAACATCTTCTGAGTATTGAAAATTAAACAACTGGTATTCGTACAGAGAAGATTCTATATAAAAAATAAGCAAAGAATTTCTAATAAGATTAAACAGAAACGTTGAAGTAAATTTTAAATTGTCAAGACAAAGTCTGCCATGTCACTTCGAAGTAAACTTGACCGATCTTTTAATGGAGATGTCGCATTCTCTGGACTGTTTGTCTGGCCAAGGGTGAGAGGGCAGTTTTCGTTAAATGAACCACGAAAATGAAGAAAGCCAATGGCGATGGTATCGCTCGATCATAGCCGACAATTCTCTATTACTATGTATCTGGGAATCTCTTGCCGGCTGCGTGGTCACTCGCCAGTTTCTAAAGGATATCGCGAGGCTCGATCTATTGCCGGCTCGCTTACGCGAATTCTTAAGAGGACCTTTGTCCGGTTAATTCGATACCGGTGTACCGTGAATTTCCATCGAAATTCACCCTCGGCCACCCCCGCCGGACTTCGGTGCACCCCTTTATCGCGATAGAACAGCCGATACCAGCGTGCTCTCCGTTCCATTGCAATTAATTTACGACGTCACCGAGATTATTCCGTCCTTACTCGAACATCGTTTCGGAGTACAGACTCTTGTTTCCGCGGAAATATTTGAAAATCAAAGTAGAAGATGTAATCAAACATTGTACAAATTAATTTTATTTTAAGTCTCCTTTCAGCAGTAATTTTAATAACAGTTCCTGCAATGGGCTTCATTCGTTTTCATGTTTCTACCCTGTTTCACGACTTTATGCTCGTCGATCTTGAACAGAATCGCCTCCCCTACTCGGGGTTAAACACTGATCCATCAGCAGATATCAGCAACAGATACATTTTCTAATAAGCAGGGAACGGGCAGTCGCCTGTGCTGTTTCCAGAGCCTGAAGAGGGTTGAAAGAATATCATTTCTTCGGGTCGCATTCTTCCACTTCGATGAACGTTAGATAATATTCAATTAAATTCTGAATTTTCACAGTTCTTAAATTTTAACAATATTTCTGTACACAAGAGCAGTGATTCCTGTAGATTCGATCACCTAACGATTTTCTTTGAAAACCATACTCATGTATGAAACGACGCACACGCGTGAAACAACCCTTCGTTACGCGACCCCCTGGAAACGCGTTGCCTAAAAATTCCACCTACTCGAAGGAATCCGCCGCAACGAGGCGGAACAAGGAGAATAAGGTGGCGGTTGCCGGGAAAATTCACTTATTCATCGGGACTACTTTCAGCGAACCGCGCGGGGGTGGCTCTGGTTGAGTTAATATTTGTCGTGCGCCGGGATAAAAGGAGAGAGATGCACAGGAGCCGGCTGGGACCCTGTCTGCATATAAAGGTTTAGGTGGGTGCACCACTACCTACATGGAAATCTAATCACAGCAACCCCTGCGCCCAGGCCTCGCGTTACCAACCGCCAATGTAACTAAACTAACGAAATCGAGTTAGGCACCGTCCGCACATCGCTGCCGCAGCTCCTCGTCAAACTAAACTAAATCCACCGCGGCCGCTTTCTCTCTCACGTTCTACGAAGCAACCCTCGAAGCCGCATGTCAACGGCATACAACTCCAACGGGAGAGACCTCTCGACTTAACGAAGTAAAATGCGTTAAAGATTTCCAGACACGTCGCTTCGTTTAGTTCCTTTATTTCTTTTGAAGTTCAACTGCTGACTGAGTTTTATTTCCTTGTTTTTTCATGGTTCATGTCTTCGAATCTCGTCATATAATATAAATTCAATTCTCCTCCCATTGCTTGTTCGTTCAATGTTTTTCGCGTTTGAAACAATAACGTCGGTGCAAGAGTGCAAAATCGTAAATGGTAATTTCACTTTCCAACTTGATGCCAGGTCCAAATGTGCCCAGAAGTTGGCAAAGCGATCCGAATTGCTTCCAAACAGACCGCGTTTTACTCTTTCGGTAACGTCACGTTAATCGAGTAGATTTTTAATTCGTTTTTTCCATCACAGTTTACGAGTAGTTACAATGTAAAAAATTGTGCAATTTCTATTACTTCGTACTTACGATAGATTATTTTACATTTAACTGTAAAGAAGTAAATGTCCTCAGTACTGAAAGCAAGTTCCATGGAATAACACTCGTCGCGAAGGAATAACGCATTACGGGGGTTGGTATTTTTCCATTATCCCCAAGGAAATACCCACGAGCCACAATACTGAACAAAACCATCGATATTTCTCAAAATATTATCACTTCTGGTAACTCCGTTCAGAAGGAAATTCATTTCTGGTATTAACATTGCTTGAATCAATTCTCGAAATGAGATCAGATCTCTTTAATAAAGATTGTACTATCATAATTTATACACAACTCTTTTTATTACCGTAAATCGCATTATTTCAACAACTTTTATATGAGAAATCAGATGTATTTATTACACATTTCTAAACAAGACTTCTTGCAACATTTCTTTTTTGCCAGTACAGAGAAATTCGAAAAGGTGATCGGTAAAAGTTTAATCGGTATTCACGCACGGTCGTCGGGACGCGGGCGTCGCTGACGGAAACGCTTTCGTCGAGCGAAAGTCCGGCCGGATTATTCAGGGATATCCGGGTCCCGAAAATATCGAAACGGTCTTGTTGACCAGAGCCCGAGGCTGATCAATCCGGCCAGTTAGCCCGGCCGTTTCCGCGCTCCGTAAGGCTTAGCAGATTAAGCGGTTCGCGCCGAGTTTGATCGAGTCCTCTAAGTCTTTCATTACGATGCTCCCGCGGAGGCTGGGCTTATTATTACGGCCAAGAACGTCTTGTTTGTTAAACGAGGGGAGAAACGAAGACGCGAAGGGGTCACTGGCTATCTCCTCCCGGGGCTCACGGAGTGTGACTCACAATGGTCAGAATAAACTAGAGGTAGACGTCAATCAATCGGCCAAATGTCTTTATTAACTCTTTGCTGACCAGGGTTCTTCTATAGGGGATGATCAGGCAGCTGAATGAAATAGACTAGTGGCTTGTGTACTGACATTAACATAAGTTCTTCATTCTACTCCCCTCAATTTTCGAACTTTAGATGTTAAATAGAGATATTATTTAACCTACAGATTTTTACATAAAATATATTTTTGTACATTATGTAAATTACCTTCATGCCTCTTTAAATATTGTAATATTACTGTCCTTAATTACAATATCTCGCTATGTGATTTAAACGTAGAATTGAAATGTTCATACTTCTAATAAAACAATAGTTTATCGATTGTACGAAATCTATTTTCCATAAAGTTTACGCCCGAATGATCGATAGCCTCCATAGAATTTTGATTTATCGAGTTCCGTTTGTTCATTACTATTCATCGTCCGCGATATGCTCGGCAATATGCAATTTGGCGCTAGCCGACGAATATTAATTCGCGTTTAACATACATATCGTTATGGGATAACTATGGATCTGTCGTACACGCCTTACGAAAGCGTCTAAATTTAACCAATGGAAAATAGAACGTCGCATAGTCAAATAAGAACGACGTATAAGACGTTCACCCTGTTCGATAAGTGCGCACTGGAAATGTTTCAGGTACCAATCGAATGAGGTCATCAGCATCCCTCGCGATGGACCATTTCGATGTGCATCAAGGCACTCACATACTTCAGGTAAAATAAAAATTCTGAATCTTTAAAATAGCATTAGAAAATAAAGTAGAATTCTAATTGAATAAAAATCGGTACAGAAATTATTTAAAAATTTGTGATCTGTTGCAATTCATGAGAAACATTCAATGAGAACTGTAATAAATTTGAAACAGTTTATTTCATATGAATTCTAATTTAAAGTATTTTCATACTTTCAATAAAATGATCAACAAACGTAGTTTAATTATATGGTTTTATTAGCTTAACATTTTTAACTGCCCTATAATTATAAAATAGAGCGTGCTTCGAAATGCGAGTAACATCCCGAAAATAAACTAGTAGACAGGTTCTGATATGGCACGTTGGAAAAAATAAAGAGAGACCGAAGAACGATTGCAACGATATTTTCCGTTTCAGTCGCTGGACGGGTTCGCGATGGCGGTCGCCGCTGATGGACGGTTCCTGTACATATCCGAGACCGTCTCAATTTACCTTGGACTCTCACAGGTGAGTGTGTAGCTAGCTCGTACGAATCGTCGTCGTAACCGTGGCGATCTTTGATGGAACCGGGTACCGGGGACGTAGACTAAGATGAAGTTAGGCAGAAAAACGAAACGACAGAGAGGTGTAGCTACCAGAAGGGTAACGGAACGAAGTCAGGGGGGGGGGAGATAGGTGGTGGTCACAGGGGTTGGGTGAAATGAAGCGGAAGACATATAAGACACAGGCATGCACGTGAGGCTGGCACGTATGCGCGAGCCGGAAGGGCAAAGATAGCACGGTAAGGCATAGCGAGGGAACACGAGGTCCGTTGGAAAAAAGAGAAGCGTAGGGTAGAGAGGCGGTAGCCGCGGCAGGCGGACGTACCGGTAAGAAGAGAAGGAAAAGAAGAAGCGGAGCTGGTAGTAGAGGAGGTGGATAAGGACGAAAGAGAGGGAGAGGTCAAGGGAGGAAAAGAGGAGAAGGTTGTATGAGTTGGCGGCCATACTGGCTGGCACCAAGCATGACATAGACGAGGGAAGGGTGGGTGGTTGGGGGCGGGGGTGGTCGCATGCGGCTCACGTAGCCTCTGCACGGCGGCGTGTTCGCCATTCCTAATGCTGCCTGTGAAGGTAGATGGAGGAAAACGAGAGAGAGAGAGAGAGTGAGGAACTAGAGGTGGGAAGGGGGGAACGGAGAACCGAGAGAAACCGAGGAACAGAGATAGACAGAGAGATAGACGAAGTGGGAGAGAGGAAGAGCGATAGCGGGAGGTACAGGAGGTGTACGGGAGGTGACCGGTGTACCAGCTCGGTTCTGCGAGACTCGTGGAGCAATCAATAGGGTGTTTCGGGGATTCGGGAAACCGGCGCCGACGTTGCCACAAACATGGCCGCTCCGCCGTGTTCCCGAGGTGTGTTTCTTCTTTTGCTGGTGAAAACCAGAAGTCGCAGATATGGAAATTCAACATGCCTTCGAGTCCCTTTCGCAACAATGAAACTGTCTTTAGGAAGTCCGCTCACATACACGTGTATCAAACTCTGCCTACGGTCTATTTAACCCTGTACCAAACTATCTTTCAGTTTCAATAAAGAATTCCTTAAGAATCTGATATGATAAATCACTGAAATGTTATAAATAAAATAATAATTTGCAAGCGTTTCACTTGCGGTCTATAACAGTTTTAAAGTCTGGCTGGAGTCGAGGTTGATTCTTAATGGGTCTCTTTCTCTTTCTGCTGGGTTACGGGGTATTGGTATTATTATTATTCTGTCGGGAAGTTCGATTGAAATTAAAGTTTCCACGCCCGATGAAATTGACTCCCCCCTGGCACCGTGTCTCTCTCTCTCTCTATCGAGGAGAGCCTCCCACGATGAGAAACCGTGCCCCTCTGAGCTAGTAATCTACTTCGCGGGATTTACATACTCTTACGTGCTTTGTCTTTGAGCGAACTCCCGTAATCTTGAGATTGAAGGGTAAATCGACGTGCTAGGATTACGTATGTTTAGATAATTATCTCAAACATGAAGAGAAATATGTTAGAATTAACTACCTTGGCTACGTTATTTTAATACGAAAGGGAATTCTTTTTGTTTTATATTATTTCTTTAACTTTCTGTTCCCACTTCCGACAAACTTTATGCTTTATAATGTGTAAAAAAGAAACGTTCCAAAATACGACTCAATTCCTAAGAGAAAATTAATCTGAAGAACTGTATACTACATCGACGAAAGAAACGTAGTTTCAGTCACGTCGAAGCAGTTTTTCGTGGAAACTATCATATTAAGACCTCCAGAGTTTCCCTCCGGTAAAGTCGCCGGCGATGAGAAAGCCGGCTGCAGTTTTTTCTCTAATTAAGTCACCTTTCCGCCACTTGTCAAGAAAATTGCGATATCCGAACATACGTTTTTCCTCCGGACTCGCATGCGCTACATACCTAGAATTCCTGTTTTAAAAGTAGCTCGATTGAGACCTAAATCAAGAAACCTTATCGAATAAAGTTTTTGCAGAGGAAGTGTCACTAAGGAACGCGTTCTAAGAATTATTATTAAGAAAAAAGTAAATCCGTTTGTCTAAGAGTAATTTATTCATGTACATTATTGAATATAGTTGATGTATTTTACATAATAGGAGGAATAGAAGGTGTGTACATTTCGATTTTAGGTAGAAATGACGGGGTCAAGCGTTTTCGACTACGTCCATCAGCAAGACCACGCGGAAGTCGCAGAGCAATTAGGCCTCGGGCTGACGTCGAGTACCTCTTCCGGTCCCCATTCGTCGAGTTCCGGTTTAGCATCGCCAAGCAGCGCGGCGTCCGAGGAACACGGCTCATCTTCCACTGCGAATCCCGACGGTAAATTTCCGTAATTTACTATTCCTATTCAATTACTTTGCTTGAGAAGACGTACTCTTCCTTTAGCGATCTCTACATTATTTTGAAACTCGATTGCAGTCTCCTCGGCAATGTCGTTATCGGCGAACAATCTTTACAAAGGATACGACAGAGCGTTCTGCGTCCGGATGAAGTCCACCCTAACGAAAAGGGGTTGTCATTTTAAATCCTCTGGTTATAGGGTAAGCATTCTGTACCTTTCATTATCTGTTTAATTGCAATTGAGAATTTTTCTCGAGGAAGTATCGGAACGTTCTGCATACGTTGAAATTGGTTTTATGAATCGATCGATTCAGTGAACGAGAGCGCAGGTGGTAATGAAAAAACGTAATTGTGAATTCAGGTCGTGTTGTTACTGTGCCGTTTGAGACCGCAGTATACGTTTAGCCATACAAGAAAGTCCGCGCCACCATTGATAGGTATGGTCGGCCTGGCGATAGCACTTCCTCCGCCGAGTGTGCACGAAATTCGTCTCGAAGCCGACATGTTCGTCACGCGGATCAACTTCGATTTTCGGATAGCACATTGCGAACCCAGGTGAGCGGTCGATTAAATAATAATTGAGTAATTTGTATGAGATGCTCGAAAAACCTTTTAACACTGTCCGAATATGTATTAGTGTTTTCTCTTATATTATTCATTATGAATAAATGAATGTTCTATTCTTTAATGAATTCGCAGGGTCTCCGAATTGCTAGATTATAGTGCCGACGAATTAACGGGGAAGAATCTGTATACATTGTGCCACGGCGAAGACGCGAATCGACTTCGTAAATCTCATATCGATCGTAAGTACTTCGTTTAATATGCTACGAATTTATTCAATCGAATCTTATTGACGTAACGAATCAATTTTTGTTACAGTGATTCACAAAGGGCAGGTGCTGACTCATTATTATAGGCTGATGAACAAGAGCGGTGGATACACGTGGCTTCAAACTTGTGCCACCGTAGTTTGTAACTCGAAGAACGCCGAGGAGCAAAATATCATCTGCGTCAATTACGTTATAAGGTAAATAAAACGATCCTCTTTTAGATAGAATTTCCTTTATCTTTTCATTGATCATCGATCTTTCTTCAGTGGTCGAGAGTTCGAGAATTTAATCATGGACTGTTGTCAACTGGAGGAAGGCGTTATGGGTGTGAAGCGAGAAGATGCTGCTGGGAACGATCCAGAGAACGGTTCACCGGACGCTGATAGAGGAGGTACAAATTTTATTGCGATCAGTCTTCAGCATCCAAATTTCTCAGATCTAAAATCTTGTTAACGAATCGTAGAGGGAAGAAATCACGGTGGACCATCGAACCAGCACCAGGAGCATCCTCACAGGTCTCCACCAGAGGATCGAGAGGACACCCGTGGCTCGGAGAGCGAGAAAAGGGGAAGCAGGCACCATGACAACATAGCTCAGTTACAACAAGAACCGCAGACTGTAGAAAACATTAACACACTAGTAGTGAAATTGCGCGGTCACAAGCGGAAGCTCCAGGAGGAGGACAGTAGTTCGAACGAGGAGGAAGAAGATGAGGAGGACGAGTCTACGGTGAAAGCGACAAATAACGAGAGAAGCCACGCTCTGAGTCCAGCCCCGTCGAACCATTCCATTTCAGGCGGCGAGCAAGTACTGTGCACCGCCAGTCCAAAATCGAGACGCGTAGAAGATAGAACAACGAACGCTGATACCACCGGCACCTCCGTGAAAGATTTAGAACAGGCGATGTCGAAGCATCTGCCTGTGCAGAGTTTGAACAAATCCCATTCACCTACGTTGCATCAACCCACGGACTTCAGCACGGACGCGTTGCTCAAGCAGCAACAGCAGAGGAGCACAATACAGTGGATCGGCGCACATCATCACCTGGGACATCTTAGTCCTCAACAATCATCCACCGCACCGCTACCAGCGTCCGCTCTTCTGCGACAATTGTACGCCAACAGGGAGAGCGTGATAAGGGCTAACGTTCACGGGATCACGTCCAGCGGTACCACGAGGACACCTTCCTCCGGTGGAACCTACTACGCCGGTGACGCGACGCCTAGTGGTCCTTTACCTACTCCTCCCGGGTCCGAAGGATCAAGCACTTACGGCGAACACCAATTCGTGTTAGCGGCGCACAATCAGAAAGGCTCGACTGGGACCAGCTGTGCAGACGCGTTCACTAGTCTGGTGTCCTCTTATTCCACAGCCGGTGGTTACACGGTGGACTATCATTCGGCTATGACGCCTCCGTCGTCGGTCTCGCCGAGGGACAAGCAACAGCAGCAGCAACAGCAACAGCTTCATCCCGTTAACGTGATAAGCAGCTACGAGGGATCGTCGGCTTACGCAGATCCTGTCTTAAGACATCAATACGAACCGGCGCAACCATTGCCTTTGAAACCGCAAGTGTATTCGGCCGCCGTACATCCAAGCGCGTTGGACGCTGCCGCGGCTTACGCGTCGGCCGGGTTGTCCGAGCAGGCGCAATTTTATCACCACCCGGCAGCCGGGCCCGGATTCCACATTTACCATCCGACGAACAAGTCGACGACGAACGGTTGGTACAGTTCGACGTCCTAGTGGCGTGCGGCCGCACGCGAGAGACGTGTACTTAAATAAGTAACTGAGAATTCTGAGCCCAAAGTCCCCCCTCGACCCCCTCACATGCATATCAGTGATATTCGTATATTTCATCCCGGCATCTCTGTAATTCCCCTATCTCGTTTCATCTCCACATCTATTCGCCACACCTGGCAGAAAGTTCTCGATTGAAAATCGATAACGCCGATATACAAAATTCACATTCTCTCGTTTCCTTTTTTTTAAATGTTTTTAATTAGCTGTTACCGAATCAATAACTTTTTGCCAGGTATGATATCTATTCGTTTCCTATTTGTTTTTTTACTTATATCTTCATTGTTTTATTTTTTATCCTGGGATTCTCGTCGATCATTTTCACCGCGTTTTCCCCCTCATCCCCGCGAACCCCAGCGATCGTACGCGCGCATCCGATGTGCCAATTGAACTGTATAAAAATCGCTGCTCTCTATCCTCGACTATGTAGAACGACTTATTGTAATATAACAAAATAAATTATTATGTACGTTGACATTTTCGGAGATATTCGCGCAAGCAAACGGAGGATAGGAATTTCTAAAAAAAAAGAGAGAGAAAGGGAAAAGAGAAATAAGATGGGACAGAGTACGTTCGACGACTCAAGGGGCAAAACGGTGAGACCATAAAACGTGATGACTAATTATTATCAATTTAGTTGGTCGTCCCGTAAACGCGAGAACAGAGGAGCGAACGAACAAAGGGATTTATCAGCGTTATTGCTGCGAGAATGAAGACGGAGGAACGGCCGGCGTGGTTGTTAGCGATAAATTTACTCGAGAAGCCGTACTTGTCGTACATTTTTTATACTTGTAACATTTTGTTGCGTAAATACGATATATGACTTTAGTGAAGTCGACAGTGCAATCGTTACACGTTTTTTAGCGTTAATTTAAGAGGATGATCGGATAGGAAAGGAATAATGTTTAACTTTTTCGCTTATACAATGTAAATGAAAGAGACGTTGTTTCTGTACGAAAGAGAGAGAGAGAGTGAGAGTTGAGAATATTCACGAAGGAAATCGCTATCTCTATTAATCTATAGGAAAATCGATGTAAACAATTGTTAACTTATTTTCGTCTATCTCCAATCGGTCACCTTTATCGGTCGTTACAAGAAGGAGTCACGTTCATCGACTCCTTATCGTTCGTATCTTAGCGTTTTACTTTTAACGTCGCGTTGGATACATATCAATTTTCCTGATTAAAGATAAATCATCACTGCCTTACCGATTATATATAAAAATAATTCTGGTTGCGTAACGTTACGAAAGAAAATATTCGGCTTCGGCTTGGTCGGAGGCTGATTAAACCTGTAAGGCAATTCCAGTGTTACGTTGCTAGAGGTAGCGAATTCTTTCCGAGAGATTATTATGTTTTGTTGTAAATTTGAAGAATTGTTTTCTCTGACGAGTACACGTGTAAATACAATTTTATGTGCTGTAAGATCCACCTGTTGAACATTTCTATTCATCATTTTTCGGAACTATTTCTACGAAATTTTATTTTCGTCGAAGGAACATTGTAAGGCAGTGACTTAAGCATTAAAATATATGCATAACGTCTCCATCTTGGTAAAATGATACCTTATAATTCAATGCTGCTTTCCACTTATCGAATTCATTTACTGTCTCGTATAATTACAAGGGAATATCAAACTGCATTGATATATGTATGATGATCATAAAGAATTTACAACTGGTAATTGACAGTACGTTACTTTAACTTCACAACGTGGATCAACTGACTGACCCAGCTGACCAACAGCTGAAACTACTGCACACTTGCACGAGTTGCACAGTGCACGTTGCCTTTCCCACTTCCCAACTTCCCATCCCATCAATGCCGCAGGGCCTTGAGCTGAGCAAGTGGGGATCTTAGCAAAAGGGAAGGGATCTCAGACGATTGCTTCGTCATGAGATTGTTATTAATTTATTTCATAGAGTTTAAAGAATATTTTAACCATGTTTGTGAAATCAGAAATCCATGAAGTTTGCTTTTCTGTTTCGTTAAATCTTGATCGCGAAAAGTACAAGTGTCCGATGCTCGCTATCTTTTGTTTTAACACCGCCGAACAGCTGTCGGTACATAACGACACGGTGTTAGAAAAGAAATGTCCAAAAATGCTGTTTTACGAAATGATTATATACGGTTCAATTACCTAAGCAGACAGAACTGCTTTATCTCCAAACATACCTATTTAACAAGTGACGGCGTGTTAGCCTCGAACGTGCGTACTCGACGATCATTGGATCTTGCGCGTACTCGTCGTGCCCTCGCACTTCTCGCCGATAGAGCTACATATATAACGTGATAAATTCAAAAGAGGACCACAATCGTGACGTTATTCGACGTTGTACGCGAAAGTGAACTGATCCCGTTTATCGTCTGAGTGATTCCTCAACGCGGACCATGAGTCTACGATTCGCGGTCGCCGTTGCCGTTCTGATCGTCGCGATCGAGGCGAAGAAATATTACAACAATAATCCGGAATTCTCGGTGGAGGAACAATGGCAAGAGTTCGAGGAGTTTTTGAAATGGAAGAAGTTGCGAGAGGCGCGCGAGGACAATCCGCGAGAAATCAAATACGAAAAGTACAATCACGAAAATCATGACATGTACAAACCTGAGAAAGATCGACAAATCCGTGCAAATAGCGATGGCCCACCGCCGATCGACCAAGCAGCTTTAATGGCAAGATACATCGTCAATCAGGCTGGTAAGATACATTTTCTTATGTTAATCGGTTCACTTCGAAAACCAGTAAGCAGTATTACAATGCGCAAAAGCGTGATTTTCAAACAAAGACATCGGACAGTTGCATTTTAATTATGTATCACTAGCAAGTCTCACGAGGGACTGAATAAGCAAATATGTATTATCAGCATAGATAGAACATGTTTTAGCGTTTAGCGTGAGTTCAACGGAAGTTAATATTAGAATCGTGCGCATGCATTTTGGCGGGTCTCCAAATTTTAAATACGCTGAATTCTTTTCTGACAATATTACAAATATTGACTTTAAATATTTACATTTGAATCACTGTCCAATGTATAACAATTATTTTATTTCGGAGCATGACAGTTCAATCATAAAAATATTTAATAAAATCGATAAAGCAATAAAATATTAATTTTATATTACGATTGTACTGTGAATAATTTTTTACTTCCATAAAGACTGGGTACCCGTATCGACAATAAGCACAAGGAAAGACATCCAATCATTCCCAGCTGTAACTTTAGTGTCTCACGCGGACGGAATTCTAGGAAATGGAACTGGAATTCCGTACTTGTATCTTACTCCCTTGGACTTCACGGCACAAGATCTTGCAGTAAGTATCATCATTATAACTGGTTTATTTGTTGCGCTTTACAAATTGATATTAACGTCGCGCGATAAGATAAAAAGCAATTCCGATCACGTACGCTCATCATTGTCTTTTTTTCTAGTATCAAGTATGTTCTTGACACGTAGCACTCGTAGCACTTAAATATTAATCTTATCTATGATTTTGAAAATATATTTTTTTAAGGAGTTTATAATCAATGTGATAATCTTTTTAATCGTAGAAAGATAATCGGGCGTCAGTGTTATTGACTTTGGCTCAAGGGGATTATTGCAAATCGAAAAAGTGGGATCCCATGGATCCTCGATGCGCCAGAGTTCTCATGAGTGGCAGAATTGTACCAGTTAGTAGCATTTTTCTCATTTGAAGATACTCAACAATGATTATTAAGCATACTATTTTTACAGTTGAAGAATGATAGCGCGGAACTCGATTTAGCCAAAAAGGTATTCTTCGAACGCCACCCAGGACTAGTTGGCATGCCAGCAGGTAAGTACTTATCTGTTAATTACACTAATTGCCAAAATTCGCGCGTCATTCATTGCGAAATGTTTTGTTAAATGATACAGATCATCACTTCTATTTCGCTAAACTGAAGATAATGACGATCGCAGTACTGGACACTTTCGGTGGACCGAAATACGTCAGCGTGAAGGATTATTTGCATCCACCAATCGCCAACATTACCGAAGAATTTAACAGACGCTTTCCTAGAGACTCTTACGAAGGCCGATCTCAAGACTATAATTCTAATATGTTGAATCCTGTTGTACGCAGTATATAAGTTCAACTTTAAAAAATTGTAAATTGTATTTCTTATTTAGATAACTAATGTGATCGCATAATGAATGAGATAAATGAATTCATAAATTGGAATCAATTCAATCCTAGCGCCCTATATCCATTAACCACGTGAATAAAAAAGGACAGGAGCACAGATTTTTACAAGACTGAAATATACATGATTATTACTGACGTATATTGAAAAGTAATTAAAGTAATGAAGTTCCGTTCTCTACAAAAATATACAGCTCCCTTTCGTTTGAAAGTTATTACAGAGTTCCTGTAAAAATTTATTTAACATCACACATAAATCCCGACTAGTGGGACGTACAAATTCTGTGATATCAACTTAATATATTAAATATATACATTTCCGTAATATAAAAATTATGCATTTTTAAAGTACATTACAAAAGAATTAAAATATCGTGCGATATTTTCTGTTTAAATATAGGACGATATAAATTGCAGTAGCTTTTGTAATTTCTCTTGAATGTCTGAATTATATCACGTGGAATTTTAATCATTTATATTTATATATATATATATGTACATTTTGCGTGATCTACTTAAAAATATAGAATTTGTTATATATTAATATCTACTTGAAACCATAAAATTCGTTTAAAAAAATTAATAATTTGATTACAGTTCGCGAGCAGCGGTAATGTACAATATCTAATTACAAACGTTTGCTAATTCATTTTGGCTACGTTTTCTTAGTAGTAGTCTGTGCAGTTTTTCCATGAACAAGAGTCGATGAGCTTAGCATTACCGAAACTTGTTCCGGTAATGGGCACGCGATTAATTGAAGTTCCTCCGAATTATAATATTTACTAAGTATCTGATACAATTGTGTAAATGCGGCGCAGACATTATTTTTCACCGGTCTGAACAAAATAAACTCTGTCTCCTTGTTGGACAAATACAATTGCATCAAGTGCTGGATTTCAGGACATTTGAACTTGATCATTCTTAATACCTCGCTAATCGCTGCTGCAACATCTTGGGGACTCCCGAGAGCATGCTGTTGTGGTGCCTGCGGATTCCCAGCCAACAACTTTTCCTTGTCCAACAATACCATGATCGGATGAATCAATGAAAATGTCGCGTGATGTATAAGACGTTGGCAAGCGTGTTTCAATTTATGATCGACGTACTTTCGCGAATCGATCAGCTGCTCTTTCATTTGCGGCGCACCTTCTAACAAAAATTCTAACAGCGCGTTATTCGACAACGTGAAGAACCTCGAACTCTTCTCCAATAAACCAAACGCCGCTGTCTTAACTTTAGAAAAGTCCAAACTGTATTCTTTTATAGTAAAGTCCACTTGAAACGGTGCGATCTGCTCTCTCAGTATAAGCAAATGTTTTATCTGGAAGAGTTCTGCGTCCAAGATCGATGCCCTCTTCTCGATCTCTTGCTTCGCGTTTTCTGTACTTTGAACGCAAAGAGATATCGCCTCCTGGCTTAACGACTGGAAGACAGATCTGTCCACACACCTGTACAATCTTGATAAACATACTAATGTCCTACGTACGGTTGGGTACCACATGCCGTGTAGATCTGCCGGTGAATTTCCCATGTGTGTCTTTTGATAAATAGAATCCATTTCTATATGATTCCTAGATATTGGCTCCAGAACGTTATCCTCGTTCGACGAAATAGATATCTTTTTCAACTTCGTTTGTCGATTTTCCTCCCTCAAAGACTCCGCGATGTCTTCCATCATTTTCAATTTTTCTGGGTACGCCAGATCACCTGGTGATGGATTATAGTTCAAAACGTCCGATTGCAAATAAAGATGTGCACGAAATACGAGTCTCTCTTGAACATCGTGCAATAACTGTAGACAAATGTTTCCGAAACCTTCCAAGGGTTCGAAATTGTTTTGTACGTGCTCGTCCAACATTTCGATTCTTAAGATGCAGCAAATTTCAGCCAGTGTTTCTAAATGATTGATGTGAATTATGAACGGCCTCAGCGTATCGTATAAGGATGTGCACAACATTTCGAGATAAGCTGTTAATCCACTGGATGGTTTCGAGAAGAACTCATAAAATAATTTATATTCATCCATGGATGCGTGTAACAACAATGCACACGAATTCCTTACTAAACTGCAATGATCTCCATTGTATTTCTCCTTTACAGACATCAGAGACTTTTGTACACTGCTGCCTAACACCAATCCCCTTTGACTCCAATAATATTGATGACATTCAGACAGTAAACTATCGTACTCTTGCCTCTTATAAGATTTTGCTTCTATTTGTTCTATGACTGGCCTAGCTTTCGATAAAATAGTTTGAAATCTACCATAGAAAAGTGCCAAGGCTGCATCGGCATTATCTTGGGAATCATCGTTATCCCTCAAGTTTAAAATGCTTTCTGTGGTCTTGCTAAATAAATTGAAGATGTAATTTTGTATCATCGATATTGCCTTGGATTGACAGTGTTTATATTTGATTAAATAAGTATTGCTTTCTTTAAACGAAGGATTATTCTGAATGAAATCTATATTCGTGTCAATCTTGTCTAATATATTAAAGAACATTTCGCTGTTCACGGATAACGTTGGAGCCTCCAGTTTTTCCATCATCATGTCAATATCTTTAAAATATTTCACGTACTCCGTAATGTTCTCTATGGTAGAATTTAATTTTCTTTGATCGGAATCAAGCTGTTCACTGGCATCGTAAAGGGATGTTGTTTTGTCGGAAACCTCCGAATACTGTTTGTACAACATGCCGAAGTCTTCCAATGCTTCTTCTATCTGAAGACAAAGCGTGTGGCATTCTCTTCGTCGCGCTTGAAGCTCATTAAGGTACAACATGTATTTCACATCCTTCCTGTCCACGCACTTTTTCTCTAACTTGGCGTAATGTTCCAACAGATCTTGACATCGTTCTACTCGTACCGATCCACCCGTTTCTTCGTTTCTGTGTGTATCGTCCGTTCCGTCAGTCTTGAGCTTACTGTCAGGAAACAATTCCTCTTCCAAACTTAGTAAACATTCTTTTTGATAATCGGTCAACGGTGCCAGAGAATCCTCTGACAGATCCCATTTGGTTAAGTTATTCGGAATGTTTTTCAGTTTCGACATGGTTCCTTGTCACTGAAAACGAATGTTACGAGCTGGACGCTTTGGAAATGTGCGGTACGATCGCGTATGTCACGCACATACCGTTTTGTAAAATAAGTTAAAAAATTGCCTTCGAAAAACTGACACCGTAGCAATTACGAATCATAATCCTGAAGTTGAAACCGGGTCTGTCGATTACGTAGCACATACAGGATGTCCAAAAGAAAATATCAGAATCCATACCAAGGTGTAAAATTAAATTGTTCACCAAAATTTGAATGTACAATATTATAAAACTTATTCATGTATACGTTGCCATTTATATTGGAAAAGAATTTACACATTGCAGCTAAAAATCTTTTTGATAGGAACTTTTTATTACTTACTAAATAAAACAGCACGTGCCTTTCGTTGGAAACAGGGTCTTGTTCTTGTTTCTCTTTGTGCGTGTATTTGAGCTGCAAGGTTTGTGTCAACTCGAATCTTATAATATTTATGTGATCTTATTTAAGTAATGCAATTTTCTTAACAATAAATGCTCTTATACTTGAGTGAGATCTAATCAATTTAATATTATTGCGATATTTACGAAGTGACGTTACTGAACCTATAAAATATTCGGTGTTATTTACAGGATGGCTCCGCGGTATGAATTAGCTGTCGGTCTGAACCGAGGTCACAAAACGACCAAAATTCGTGTTGCGAAAAATAAAGATGAGAAGAAGAAGACAGTATGCGTCTTGCCAGCAAGACTGAAGGGGGTTAGTACTTATGGAATTAAAATTTCAATGTTCTTTTACAGCACATCAATACACTTTTCTGTCTTGTGTATCTCATAGTCCAATTTCAAACCTATTGACTTTATTATAACAACAATATTAATCCTGCATAATTCTGACAATTTCAGAGACAAACTAAACACAGCAAATTTGTCAGAGATTTAATTCGTGAAGTAACTGGACATGCACCATATGAGAAGCGTGCTATGGAATTGTTGAAGGTTTCTAAGGATAAACGTGCGCTTAAGTTCTTGAAAAGAAGGGTAAGCATGTTAGGAAATCGTGTTGCATTACAATTTATTAATTTTCTTCCAGTTAGCTAATAATATAATAATTTTGTAGTTGGGCACTCATATCAGAGCCAAGAGGAAACGTGAAGAACTTGGAAACATTCTTGTCCAGATGAGGAAAGCAGCTGCTCATCATTAAACACGTTATTCAATTTTTATAATAAGTACATAATAAAAATATATGTAACAAAATACCATGTGTCTTATTCGTTAAAAAATATTTCCTGCTATCCCTAAAATCACGTACAATACGAAAAGTTACCATCTACTGCTAGGAGGACCAGTTTATAGTTTGGTTATGTTATATAATCTGCTTCTATACATGCTTTCTATCATCCTAACTTCTAACTCAAATAAAATAAGAGTTTTCTAAAGTACATTAATATGAACGTCACTTAGAAAAATAATTTAAGTAAATACTTGTTTATAATTTAAATATCTTCGGCATTTACACGTGGTTGTATACTTACATGGACGTAATGTGTAGGATATGTAGTGTTTAGTTCTATACTAAATATTAATTATGAACGGAACAGTGGTGTTATGTTCGTTAAGAAAAATTAAATCTCAACTATATGCTATATCGTCGAAAAATTGGTTGTTCGAAAGATTCTCACAATGTAATAATGTAGTTCTTGCTAATTGTCAACGATGTCGAACAGTACACAACAGTACTGTTACACATTTAGAAATTCCTAAAGAGATCGAAAGAAAAGCTACTGACTTGAAACAGATAAGAGATTTATCGAAAAATGGACCATCGCTCAAAGACTTTTTGGTGTCTAAGAATGAAGTGCCTATCGAGTCGATCAGTGTACCAAATATACCCTACATAAACAATATCGATGGTTCTAATCAGAAAGGTAAATAGATACATTCAAAATTCAATATAATTAAGAAGATAATTTAAAGATCTTGATACTTCATCTATGAAATTACTCTGTTTCAGTTTACTTTGAAGTGTACGGTTGTCAGATGAACGTAAATGACACAGAAGTGATCTGGTCTATTTTAAAATCCCATGGCTATCAGAAAGTTGACGATTTGCAAGAAGCTAATATAATTTTACTTGTCACGTGTTCTATCAGAGATAATGCAGAACAGAAAATATGGAACAAGCTAGACTATCTAAATAGTAACTTAAGACAAAAAAGGAAAACAAATTCTGTGAAGATTGGTTTGTTAGGTATAACGATAAAAGTATACATATTCTGTTCATACGAGCACTATGTAAAAATATATCTTTGGTAAAACAGGTTGTATGGCAGAGAGATTAAAAGAGAAAATATTAGAGAGAGGAAAACTTGTCGATGTGATTGCTGGCCCAGACAGTTATAAGGATTTACCAAGATTGTTGTCTGTACCAGACAGTGAAACTGCTATTAACGTAGTTTTATCGTTCGATGAAACGTACGCGGATATTACACCAGTGAGATTGAACCCAGATTCCATCAGTGCATTCGTGTAATTTTTGCATTACATTTCTTCATCAATGAATAATTAAAAATTAGTTAATTCTGTAAATTTTGTAGTTCAATAATGCGCGGCTGTGATAATATGTGCACTTATTGCATTGTACCGTTTACGAGAGGAAGAGAAAGATCAAGGCCAATCGATAGCATAGTTGAAGAGATCCGACATTTGTCTAACGAAGGTGTGAAAGAAGTAACACTCCTTGGCCAGAACGTAAATAGTTACAGGGATACCTCGCGATCAGAGTTCTGCACGAGCAACGAAGCGGAAACGCATCTAGCCAAAGGTTTCAAAACGGTATATAAAAGCAAGAAGGGAGGACGTCGATTTTGCGATTTGTTGGATGAAGTCTCTCGCATCGATCCCGAAATGAGAATCAGGTACACGCTTTAATTATTACATTTTGATGTTATTTTCTTTATCACGTATGATTTTTAGATTTACATCACCGCATCCTAAAGATTTCCCGGATGAAGTTTTGCAACTGATAGCGGAACGACCGAATATCTGTAAAGAAATTCACTTACCCGCGCAAAGCGGCAGTTCGACGGTGTTGGAGAGGATGAGGCGGGGATATACGAGGGACGCGTATATAGACTTGGTGCATCACATACGTGAGATTCTTCCAAATATTTCTATCTCCAGCGATTTCATTGCTGGATTTTGCGGGGAAACTGAGGAAGAGTTCCAGGATACTTTATCATTATTGGAATTGATCAAATATAACAGAGCTTACCTTTATGCCTACAGTTTACGCGAGGTAATTCGGAGGATATACGCCTGATATCATTTTTAAAAATGTATACTACTCGTTATTAATTTTAGAAAACGACCGCGCATCGTCGTTACAAAGACGACGTAGAGCCGAGTGTGAAACAAAATCGATTGGAAAGAATGATCTCAGTGTACAGACCCGAAGCGGAAAGATTGAATAAATTGCAGATTGGACAGTTGCAACTTGTACTAATAGAAGGGGTAAGAAATTTGCGAATATAAATGAAACAATGTAAAAATTAATGAATTGAATTTTAGGCCAGTAAACGGACAAGTGAATATTTACAAGGACGGAACGATGGTAACGCGCGAATAATAATTCCATTTACCGAAATACCTATAACATTGAACTCCGATGAGAAGAGATCGATAAAAAGTGGCGATTATGTCGTCGTAGAAATTACAAACGCCAACTCACAGACTCTAACAGGTACACCTGTCTATCACTCGTCGATAACAGAATATGCATCCTCGCTCGTGCTGTAAATAACGTGGAACACGATTTTCAAAGGTTTCATTTGTTATTTAATCACGCTTGTCATTGTATAATAAAATCAGATTTGGAACGAGACACGTAATAATTACAATGATAGATCGATGTGTAACCTAGTCAAACTATCGAAGAAGGAATCATGTACATAGTATGATACATATTTAATAATAAATAGAAATAATTTATCCTAATTTTGTTACATGGCATTCTATAGGTACATACGTAACGTTTGTTACAAAACTGACAACTTACTGATTAAAAGAAATTCATCGTTTCTCATATACTCGTAAAGTATTTACAAAACGATAAACGAAAATTATTTTGTACATTGAAATTTATACACATCATTTCGAAACAGTCGTATGAACACCGGAGTAGGTATATCGTTAACTTATGCGAGACGTCGACGTCTTTGGAAGTACACGAGAAATCGCTTTTGCGGAACGTGTTAAACGAGACTCGCGGTTCCGATGTTAATGACGCAATTGTCGGCACCACGTTCGTAGACCGTGAGGTCGTGGTTTCGAGGCTGTTCCAACAGCGCAGCCAGTTGTTCCCCATTTGGGAACGCGTTTGGCGAAGTCGGAAGAATTACGTCGCACTCTAATTGACCTAAAAAACCAGAATTAGAAACTGAACTATTAGCATGTTATCATATGAGATTGGAAAAGATTCGTGAAAAGAAAGTTGGATCGATGGAAGCTGAACGGATTTCACCTGATAACGAAGGTGAAGCACCTTTGCTAGAGCCGTACATTCGAGTACTGTAACCAGAATCGTTGTGTGCGTCATGCAAAGGCGGCGTTGGGCTATAAACCGCGTTACGGGACCTATATGGCATCCTGGCGATGCTGTCGTAATGTACGCGCTCTGATATAACTCCTTTTCCGGAGATCCCCCCGTTTAATGCTTCCGGCTGCTCGTCGTCATCCCCCTCGCTGCTTTCGCTGTCGTTACCTAAATCGATACCATAATTATTGATAAAAAATCCATAATGATAATTACTCGACGTAATTTATGTTAAATGCAAGAAGAGAGTAGAATCTTCTTACCTTCTCCTCGCCAACTGTTCCCTACGCCACCCTGCGGTTGCACCCTTTGATTCTGTGAACATTGACTATTCTCCGGGCTGGTGGGCTCGCTGCTTCCGGAACGGGGAGCGGTCCTCCAACCGTTATGCATGCCAGGTACTTGTTGAAACCTCTTGATCATTTCGTGAACGCTACGCCGCCCCGACGATTTCCATTCATTCGAGATGTCCTCGTTCTTAAGCGTCGCGCTACTTTGGTCTTGGCACGAATTTATGCCATGATCTCGCGATAAAGAATCCTGACAACATATCATTCGAGTTATATTAACTTGGGTTTTTACATCTCTGTAAAAACTGAGAAAATCTATTTATAAATGTCGTATAAGTGCTCGGCACATGAAGAAATTTAACGAATAGCCTGATATAAATCAAAGGGAGTCTTAAAAGGCAAGGATCGAGAAATAATTAACTCGAACTGTAATTTCCTAGCATTAAGCCTAACTATCGTCAGAGAGGGTGCGATCCAATCAGCCGGTCATAAACGCGACTCACTGTACCTGCGCGCAACGTGTCATTAGAGCCTCGCAGCTTAATCAACACCTCCGCGGCCGCTTAGCGTAACTAACAAAAGAACCCCCGATTACACACTCACGCGTTGCTGATGGACCTGTTGCCTGGACCCGATCGACGGCGAGGAGGCGGCCCCGAGCGGCGAGCTGCGATCCTGCTTGATCACCCCGTCGAACGTCTCGTTCAATCTCGCAGGTACGTCCAGCACCCTGAGCGTCGACCTCGAGACACCAGAACCGGACGGAAGGTCCCTCATGGACTTGCTGAGTCGCGGTATAGCCGGGATATCAAGATCGTCCAGACTACCTCGATGAATCGGTGTCTCGCCCGGAATCTCAAAGCTCCTATCATGAGGTCTGTCGTCCAGAAGATCCTCCAAGGATCTGGCTCGAGCCGGCGGTAACTGATCATTGCCGAACGTATTTTTACTCGGCCTCTCGCTGTGCCTCCCCCTTCCGCCTCTCGAGAGACGCTGCTGGAGATGTATGTGCCTTTCATCGCACCTGGACCTCTCGGCAGCGACGCACCTCGTCAATTCCGATATCTGTCCCCTGGTCCTCCTCTCCAAATTCGCCACCTTCAAATCTAGCCTCTCGTGAGCTTGATCTATATGAGCTTTCAATTCCGCCTTGTCCCTTTCCAGTTTCGCTTCCATATGTCGGAAGAACGGCGCGCAATAACAAGTGTATCCCACGCCTATGGGACCCTTTCTGATGTTCCCAGCTAGATCCAGGTAATACTGTTCTCCGCGACCCAACGGGTCCGGCGGCAGGGAGTCCAGCCGCGGCTGAGGAAACGCTTCCGGATCGGGGTAGTAGTGGCAGCCATACGGCGACCACTGTCTACCCATCACCGCTTTCTCGAAGTGGACCTTGTTCTGCTTGCCGGACGATTTGTGCTTCTTTTTCTCCTTCTTCGTGCAACTGTCCCTGCTGCCGCTGGTGCCGCTACCGGTCTTCTCTCGTTTCTTCTCGTTCTTGCCGGCGGTCTTCCCGTCGACCTTGTCCGGAGTCGCCGGCCGTGCCTCCTCCTCGCGGCTCTTGCTCCGCGTCCTGCTCTTGCTTCGCGCTTTACCGATTATCTCCAATATCTCGGCGAGGTTCTTGCGCCGCGCGATGTCCTTCGCGGTCTCTCCCTGCTTGTTCCGTAGGCTACGGTCGCAGCCGGCCTCCAGCAGGATCCTCGTCAGCTTTCGACGTCCCATTGCAGCCGCGATATGCAGCGCGGTGTCACCGTTCTAAGTTTAACAGACGATCGTTACCAACAATACTCGTGTTTCGAACATCTCGTCGATAGACTAAGGATTTTATACGATGTGCAAGAATGTGTAGAATATCAAAAATAAAGTAATTGTATGTATGTGGTAAGAAATAGATGTGATAATCGTGAAAATATATGATAATATCGTAATAGAAGTTTACAAGTAAGTCCAAATAAAGAAGATACTCATGTTTGCTTTACTGTATCTCGGATAAATTTTTTAGACACGCAGCTTTGGATGAACGCACAAACATTTTACACGCACGTAAAATTTTGCTGTGTCTTAAAATACGGTGGATTGTGGATTAGATAAGTGAGGGTGTAAGGAATTGGTCTGAGGGAATTTCAGAAGCGTCTCAATATTTCTGAATGTTTACCTTGTTTTGATCGGATACTCGACAGAGTGCAGAGATTAGGATCCTCGTCACCCCGGCGTGTCCATACCTTGCTGATGTATGCAACGGCGTATCTCCATACTATGAAACATACGATAGATTACGAATAGTTTCAAGAAAATTGTACTTTAAGGAAGTTATTGGCTATACAGTCATTTATATACGATATTTAACGAGTTACGTATGATTATTTGGCATTTTATTGATGTTGACAAAATCCGACCATCCCAGCGTCGAAACGGCGAACTTTTGGCAAAAAATTTCATTTTTCCTTAATTACTCCTAAACCGTTGGATCTACGGGAAAATTGTATAGGACCTTTCTTGTAGAGGACGACGAGATCTACAATTTCCATGTAAAAATTTTTCGCTAGCATTAATAGTTTACGAATTATTGACGAAAAACGAAAAAACAGTTTTTTGCAAATTACTCGTTAACTATTAACGGTAGCGAAATATTTTTACATGGAAATTGTAGATCTCGCCATCCTCTACAAGAAAGGTCATATGCAATTTTTCCGTATGTCCAACGGTTTGGGAGTTATTAGCCAAAAACGAAAATTTGGAAGAAATTGAAGGGATACCCCTTGGAAAAACCTCGGAA